ACGGCATATCACCCCGAAAGTAATGGAGCTTTGGAACGTTCTCATAGGATGTTAGCTGAATATATAAGGCACTACGTAAATGAAGATCAAACAGATTGGAACGAATGGATTCCGTACGCCATGTTTGCATACAATACTACGTCACATTCAGCCACAGGGTTTACACCGTTCGAGTTGATGTATGGTAAACAGGCGGAATTGCCAACTGCATTAAGAAAACCTCCGGCGACACAGTATAATCTAGAAGATTACGCACAGTAGTTAAAGGAGCGATTACGCGCAAATCTCGTAGCGAGGGAAAATCTGCGCGAGGAAAAAAAAAGCGAAGCGTTATTACAATAAGAAGCATCTTTCAAAGTTGGCGATAAAGTCCTGCTATACGATGAAACATTGAGAAGGGGAAGGTCAAAGAAGCTGGAATTACTATGGATTGGTCCGTACGAAATAGTTGCAAAAGTTTCAGATGTTACATATACAGTAAAAGCGAGGAGACGCACACAGAATGTGAATGTTAATAGGCTAAAGGCCTTTATAGAAAATTAAGTAAAAGAAAGGGTACTTACCGATCCACTTCACTCTGAGTCGGAGATAACTACGACGGAAGGATCAGGCGACAAGAAGGGAGACCCAGGCACACCACATCGGGATTTCAATCAAAGTAGTATCGGAATACACCTGGCGGCGGGGTGCGCGGTGACTCCGGGTCTGGAGAGGCCGGGGAGTAGTCTTTGGGCTCCAGGGTTACCGTTTCGTCCTCAGAATCGGTCACGGTAACGGTCGGTGACGGGACGGGCTGCTCCGGCGGGGCAGGATCGAGGCTTCCAGCACTAGTTTCCGCGGTGTCACGAGGTACGACAATGGTAGCCGCACTCGTAATACTGACCCGCGAGTCGGTGTCACTGTCACCGTCACTGACACTTTCACAAAAGATGGCCTAGTCTTTACCTCCAAACTGAAGGCCAAGCCAGCATGTTATACAAAGGGACCCGGATGGTCGACCCGCGCATCCGCATTGACTGCACGGAGATGCCATTGTATAACAAACGTATGTTTAGTAACAGAAGAAAAAAAAAGATTCCGTCGTTCGCCAAAGATAACGAAGAACTAACTCGATGGTGAAGTGTGAAGTATTGAAATATCCGTCCCTAAGAAAGGGGGAAAGAAGAAATCCGCGGTTTAACATAAATTTGACACCAGAAATTAAAATTAAACTCGGATGAAGTCGTAGTCGAGTCAGTTTACTTTGCGACGAAAGTAAAATATGTATAGGCGAACACAGCATAGGAACACGACCGTTGCAGAAAATAATATAAAAATATTATCTTACAGAGTAAAAATTTTACTGTTAAAAATTGCCGTGTGTATTGCGTGGGATGGAACCGAAAGACAGGAGTTCAAGATTCAAAGGTTCCAACATAATCCTGGAATATATTTCGAGAAACAAGGCAAAATGTACCGTTCTTCCAAGAAATGGAAACTAGCAGTAAGTGTTACGTCCTGGAGACTCCACGGTCCCTTTTTTTATGCGACGCGACGCGCCAACGCATAGCGAACCCCTTTTTTTATAATAAATAACTCGAACGGGTCTCCTATCGTTTGGAAACTTAAAACTCCAGACGATAGGAGAACAAACGAAAATTATATCGGC